GAGCGGTTTTTCTGGATGTGGCAAAATTAGAAAAAGGTTCCACCATTTGTGCAAAGGGACTGACTGGATCACAAAAAGAGGCTGAATCTTTTGATATAACTTCTAGATGATAACTAGATTTAACTCGATAGATTCTATCTTTTGTGTAATGCCAAATAAGACAATCAGGAACTGGAACTTTCATTCAAAGGAATGGATGAATTCTATCTCTGTCAGTAGAAGAAAAAATATTTCCAAAGAAGAGAAGCTCTGCCACTTTGAGAATATTGTTTATGGAATTTCCAACAAAGGCTTAAATGAAGATGAACCTTGAAACAAAGTGAAAAAAAACAACAAATTCTCTTGTTTCGTACTAGAAAGAAAGGGGGGGGAAAAGGATTAACTGTTGGTAATATCTTATTTAGATAAGAAAAACAAATAGTTATTTATTTTAAAATATTAATTTGATTTAAAAAAAAATTTCATCGACGGTTAAAAAGTCAATACTTGTATATAAGGCGTCTAACTTTGCACGTAATGTCAGGATTTTTTTTTCCTCGTGTTACAAAACAGTTTTTCTGCTCAGGTTTTGATGTGGTGAACCGAAGAATTTCAAGCAATTAAAATATTATCATTTGAGAAATTTGGTGGCTGACTAAGGATAATATGAGTAAGTGCAAGAACTTAGGCATCGTTCATTTCACCAATTCAAGTTTTCAGTTTTAAATTTCTACAGTAAAAAACTCTCAGAAAATGTCAAATCTAACTTTTTCTGCTATAGTGAAAAGCTCTCTCGAATTGAAAATTCGAATCCGCAAAGTAAACGAGGCCTTAATTTACTTCCACTCCGATCCGTCTCATGATGAGAGGATAAGTTTTGGTGGGCCATAAGGAATTCTCAATCCCTAGATGTTTGTTTTCTGTATTCATTCCTAATTCTGAATCATGATTCATGATTCTTTACAGTGTTTTCTCTCATAAAAAATACACGTAAAACGAAAATGGTTCTGAATCATTATTCTGAATCCATGAATCAAACGTCTCCTGCTCTCCTTCCTCTTATCCTTCCCACAAAACAACGTCAATTTTCACTTTCCACACTCTAATCCCTCATATTTTTCATCCCTTGTATCAAAAAGACCCTATATCAACCAATATTAATAAATCTATAGCACTAAGGTCACGTGAAAATAAATAAATAAATTATGAGGACGAAAAACAAACCAATCTATAAATTGTTAGCGAGTATTCTGCAACACCATCTCCTAAATCTTCGGCAGCTGCATCTGAGGACTCAGCCCCAAGATTCTCTCCAACAACCAATACAGATCATCTCTAGGATTTAGTTTCTGATGGTTAATATACTTTCCTAAAATCCAGCACTTTAGTTATACGTGTACGTGTATATATACCATGCAATGTAATCAAACAAATATATAGAAAGTCATTATTCTAAAACCTTTATGGTATCAGAGTCCTACTCTAACGAGCTTTCTGATCCTTGTTTTTTTTTCTTCTCCTATTGTCTCGATGGCTTCCGAATCTTCTACAACCACGTCCTCCCCTCTCACTCCTACTGTTGCTGCCAATACTGCCTCTTCCTTGGTCACCATCAACATTGCTGCTTAATTACCCTTAAAACTCACGTCCCTAAACTATTTCTCCTAGAAAGCCCAGTTTCATGCGCTGTTTTTTGGATTGGATCTCCTTGGCTATCTTGATGGTTCTTCTCCATGTCCCTTGGCTATGCTTTCTCAAAATGGATTGACGGTTCCAAATCCAGATCATATCATCTGGCGCCGTCAAGATCAATTGATTCTCCATGCTATTTTTGCTTCTCTTAGTGAAGCTGTCATTCCTCTTGTCTCCTCTGCAAGTTCAAGCCAGGAAGCTTGGCATCGCTTGGATCGCCTCTATGCCAAACGCTCGACGTCTCATATTATCCATCTCAAAGACAAATTATCAATGACTACTCGTGGTTCCTCTTCAGTAACCAATTTTCTTGTATCCATTAAACAGATTGCAAATGAGCTTACTGCGCTTGGTGATCCTCCGAGTGATGCTGATTTGCTTGTCTACACCACTCGTGGTCTTGGGCCCGCCTACAAAGAACTGATTACGGCTATAAGGACTCGGGACTCTGTAGTACCCTTTGAAGAGCTCTTTGATAAAATAATTGATCATGAAACCTTCCTGCTGCATAATGAAAAACATTTTTCTGAATCCACCCCACCCACGGCTCATATTACCAAACACTCACCTTCTTTTCGCCAACCAAAACACTCGACTTTTCTCTCCAATCTTGGTATTCTTCCCACTCCCACATCTCCTGCCTCACAGTTCAAACCATCGACCTCCTCCACTGCTCGATCCTCTCAGGTTGTCTGCCAGTACTGTGATAAACGCGGGCATGATGCCAAGCGTTGCTTCAAGTTGTTTCCTCAACTTCGGCCCAATCGACCCTCGGCCAACTACACCACTGCCGCATCATCGACTCATGCACCTTGGATTGTCGACTATGGTGCTTCTCACCATGTTACTTCTCAGCTATCCACTCTTGCACTTCACCAGCCTTATGAGGGTCCAGATGACATCCACATTGGCGATGGTTCAGGTTTATCTATAACACATACTGGTTCCACTTCTATTTCCCCTGCGTTCACCTTATCTAATGTCATGTGTGTTCCTTCTATCAAACAAAACCTCATCTTGTTGCTAAATTTTGTTGTTCCAATCACACTTCTATTGAATTTTTTCCATCTCATTTTGTTGTTAAGGATTTACATACGGGGACTCCTCTACTCCACGGAAAGAATCGTCATGACCTCTATGAGTGGCCCATTTCAAAGGATGTCTCTCCAAGTCCAGCTGTGGCTCTCTCAACTGGTGTTACTTCGTCTGCATCACCAGTAATCTGGCATGGATGACTTGGCCACCCCTCCTCCAAAATAATAAAGTCACTTGTTACCTCTGGTCTTCCTCTTTCTTCTGCAATGCCCTCCCCGTTTACTTGTGAATCTTATCTTTGTAATAAAAGCCAACGTTTACCTTTTGGTGATTCAACATTAACTAGTAATGGACCACTTGATCTTGTTTACACTGATGTCTGGGGTCCTGCTCCGGTTCTATCTGTTGATGGCTTCTATTACTATGTTATTTTTGTTGATCATTTCACTAAGTACGTATGGTTCTATCCATTGCGTCTTAAATCTGATGTTTTTTCTGTTTTTCGTCAATACAAAGCTCTCGTTGAGAAATTTTTCAAGCATTCCATCGTTACTATCTATTCAGATGGAGGTGGTGAGTACACTGCCTTAAAAACTTTTTTGTCTACTGAAGGCATTCAACATCTAAAAACACCACCTCACACTCCTCAACACAACGGCACCTCTGAAATACGACATAAACACATTGTCAACACTGGTTAACGCTTCTCCACCACGCAAAAATGCCACAAAAATACTGGTCTTATGCTTTCCAAACGGTTGTTTACCTCATTGAGTCTGAATTCCCTTTTTCTGTCACTCCCTCCTTTGACACATCCATCTTTCCTTCATTCTCCACTTCTTGGCCCTCACCTGTCACGACAATAATTCTTGCTCGTACGTCCATGCCTCCCACAGTGCCTCCTTCAACAACATCAGTTGCCACTGCCTCTGCCTCTCGGCCACTCATAGACAACATGTTGCTTCCTTCAGAGAGTTCAGGTAATTCCTTTTCTCCATCCTTACAACCTTTGGCCCCTCCAACCCCTCACACCTCCCTTCCATTACCACCACATCCAATGCAAACTCGGTCTAAAAACCACATCTTCAAACCAAAACGTTTTTACCAAGCCTCCACCAAGCATCCTCTACCTGA